AAGGGAAACCTACACAAGGGGAAGAGATAAGAAAAGGTAGTACATATGCTGAAAAACAGTGAATTAGAGCATTCACATAGGGAGGAGATAAAAACAGAAGGCAAGATCTGTGCCTGGTGACAGAAACCTTGAGTGCCCAGCTAAAATATTCAGGCTATTCTCTAGCAAGAAGGGCTTAAAAGTAGGCAGTTCATAATGAAACATGCAGATAAAATTATGTCCTTTTCTAATGCTGAGAACAGTAACAGCATTGCACAGCCCTAGAGATCAGTTTGTTCCTCTCAAGAACAAATAATTTGAACTCTGAATTCCTGTCTCCAAGGGAATGCCTTGCGATTATGCTTGGAAAGGGTTTTGTTTTCTTGTTTAGCCATTTTCTGTTTACTGCTTGTTTACAGCTATAGCCTAAACCTTACTTTAGGAGAATATACCCAGTGAAAATGAGTACTTCATTTTTATCCAGGCAGTGAGTGAATTGTATATGTGTTTATATGTCCGATAACATGAAGTAAATGAACTCACACTGAGTAAAGGCGTGTATACCAGGCAGAATATAAGTAGCTCTATATATGCTGTCTCACTCAGGCCTTTGTAACCCTTTCATGGACAAGGAAACAGGCTTGGAGGGATGAAGTCCGAGTAAAATAGCTAGCAGTCATCGAGGGGGAGATCCAAACATGGGCCTCGCCACCTTTTACAACAGTCGCCAGTCATTCAGAACGTTGTTCTGTGAGGCTTTCAAAAATCTACAATAAAAGGACTCCTTTGGTTTTGATGTACAAAAGCTCCAGGCCAGCAGGTAATAAAACATAGTGTGGATGCAGAGCAGTTACAGGTAATATTTGCTGGCATGCAGAAATAGCAGAAAATGGGCCATGAGGAAGAGTCCTTAGAGCCAGAAATGTCTGTTAGAATATGTAGTAGAGGATCATAGCATTGTAGGACTGGAGTGAATGGGAGCCTAAGGGAAGAGGAGTAGCAGTGACTTTATCAGATGTGAGTCATCTGACAGCTCTAATCAGACTCACCCCTTTATTATAGCTGAGGTCATCCATGTGCTTTCTCTGAAGTTCCCATTTCGAGAAGAGATTGATTCCAGACAAGTGAAACATACCTGAAGATTTTGGTGTGGACATTAGAAATAACCTGACAAGAAAACGAGCCACAGATTTTATAGCACAGTGGCTGTTGTAATGTGAGAAGTATTTGACAGTCTGTATCCTTCATCGTGAGCCAACACTGCTCATATGTCCACCAATACTTTTGGAGGGGGAGGAAATTGAAAACTTGCCCCAGGAATCTTCACACATAATGTGATGGATATAAAGAAGTACTTTTTTTTTTTAATGTCTCATGTTTTATATTTAGGAAAAACTTGTTTATTTGTATGTCTGCCTTAGTTGCAAAACTTAAGACTTGATCTACTTACCCCCACCCTATCTTCCAGGATAGCCAACAGTCTGGGAAGAGGGTGCTTGTTTGGCTTCCAGGGTTTGAGTTGCCTCACTAGCACCTGCTGAGGCTGCAGATAACACAAGGATGACCATATTCTTGGTGACTTTTCTCTGCCTGCTGGCACCCTCTTGCTTCCTTCTGCCTTCTCAAATACGGAGTCCCAATTTCCCAAACTCACATAGTTTCTTTCACTCGATTGGCATGATTTTGAAATGGCTTGGTCTCTTGATGTGTCCCAGCATTTTTATTTTTTGTAATTTCCTTTTTTGTCTTACTAGGGGAATGTCACCAAATATGTCTGTCTGACTAGCAGGAACTTATTTTTTTCTCAAGATGCTGCTTGATATTTTGTTAAAGGCGTAGTAACCATACATGTAATATTAATAATGGTGTGCTTAGCCTAGATATTGCTTCTTGCCATCCTCTTCTGGGGGTAGAGGTGGATGTAAATTATTATTTCTGCTTCTTGGATGTAAGAAAACAAGCTCAGTCCAGCATGTGAGAGAGCTGACTTCAGGTCACAAATGAGCATGGGCTTAGAGCTGTTACGTAGATTGTATTTTCTCGTCATCCCAGGGGATTTCCCATTTTGGTTGCAGTCTTGAGAAGAGTTTGGTACTTTTGGGTAATCTAACAGCAGCAAAGGTTTCCTCTGTAAAATATTTTTATTCCTAAATCTCATGTGAAAGGGTTGTTGCTGATCTGTTGATACTAAAGATTTATTTAGGTTAAGCCCAAGAAGGCCTTTGTTTGGGCATTATTTGTACCTAATTTGATTTCTTGCCCATGAAACTCATTTTGACTTCTCACTCTCGTAATCTTCCTTGATGCCATGTTTTACCATTGTCCCACCTAAAAACCTTTTTTTTTTTTTTTTTTTTTTTCAGTTGGTGTCCTGTCATTTGAATGACATCTACCACAGAAAATACCTTTTTACTTAGGTCTTGCAGATTTTGAAATCTTCTTTTTTTTTTTTAAGCTGGCCTATCATTGTGTCCTCCTGTCAATCTGTCCAATAGGCAGCATCAAGATTGCTGTCTTCTATGTTGTAAATAAAGAAACAAGACACAGGCACCCCTGACCAGCTTAATGGCAAAGCCAGGTCGAGGAACATTTTCTGGAAGTCTTCTAATTTTCTCAAAACTGGAAAAAATGTATTATGTAGATTGAGTTTTCTACAAAGACGATAGCCCTAAAATATTTTAAGGTTAAATTTTGTTTTAAATCTTAAATTGAAGAAAGAAACAGTAGGTTTGCTGGATTTCTAAATAGGACTGGATTCCTGTTTTAGACACGTTAAAGGTGCTTGTTTCCTGAGAACAAAGCTAACTGAATTGCACAAGAGATAGTGAGTAGCTAGGTTTTTTTTTTGTTTTGTTTATTTGTTTGGTTTTTTGGGTACCGGGGATCGAATTTAGGCCCTTGCTCTTGTGAGGCAGGCGGCAGAACCACTGAGCTAAATCCCTGGCCCTAGCTAGTTTTTGTTTAATTATTTTTGGTGATAGTATTTTATTCTTCTTTGAAATATCCTAAGAAGGTCATGTCTGAAAAGATTATACCTTGTGGTTCCTAGTAGGAATTCAGTGTCATTGAAGTCATGGGCTGGGAGTAAAGCTCAGTAATACAGCATATGTTTAGTGTGACCATGGACCTGGGTTCAATCCCTACCACCACCAGACAGACAGACAAACTTAAAATAGCACATTTCAGTGCAGTAAGCTATGGAACTTAAAATGTCAAACTTCTTTATTTTTGGCTGGAATTTAATTAACTTCATTAAGAGCTCTTGTTAGTAGCACATGGGCATGACCAGTTAATTATTCCTGAAAATTGCAGTTCAAGGAGTCCAAGAGGAGAGAAATTACTCAAGTGAATGAATGGTGTGGAAGGCTTATGGTCTGAGAGTGTGCTACAGTGCTGAGAAATGCCCATAAGGTGGCGCCAAAAGTTTGCTTGACTATTGCGTCCCTAGCTGGCACCTGGAGCCCTTGAAGCACAGTTCAGCCTTGTGAACCGTGGTGCGCTTGTTGCTGTACCTTTCTTTCTGGTCCCAGTCTTTCCAGAGCCTTCTTAGTGCTGTTACCTTTTCTGCATACTGGTGTCTATCTGTGGTGTGCCTACAGGGAAGGCTGTGGGTATTGACTACTCTAGATGATAGGGTCTCAAGAGAAGGCAGATTGCACTCTTTTCTGCATTTCCATCAGTTCCAGACTCAGGGCCTCTGCATTTCATTGTTGAGTTAGCATCTGCAGATGATCTATGGGCACTTGTGCACTTCCATATGGCTCACCTTCAGTGTGTGTATGCTTAATGACTATGCGTATGTTTTTAGCTGCATGCATGACTTTTTGGAGTGAATATTTTGTGCCTGTAGTTTATATAATTTCATTATCCTCCTCCTGCACGGAACCAGTTAACTCAGAGATAGTTTCTTAGAGAAATCCTCTCTGGGGTGGGTCTTCCCTTCAGACTTGCAGTTGGGCAGGATAGTGAGAGGTCTGCATGAGAGACAGCAGATGGCAGTGGAGTTCCTAGGCTCTGTGCCACATGGGTAGGGATTTGAGAACAGTAGAAAGAATCTGCTTTGTAGTTCTCATTTCTCTGCCTCCTTTGGGTTCCCAACAGGGAACCCTGCAGCTGGCAGGGCTGTGTGACCCAAGAGGGAAACCTGTTCTTGCCTGGGAGGGGCAGAAGTGCCATGAGCATAGTTTAGTTGGATTATATCATTTTACTGGGAACCGTTAAGTAAATGGATATTCAGTTTTTCTTTTTTAGACAACCAATAAGGGCTTCAAGCCTTTCAACTCCCTACTGGAAAGAATTTGGAAAACTTTCATAATAATGTCATCTCACTAATTCAGGAAGCCCCCATAGGCAGCTAGTCATCTTCTTGGCCTTACCCTGGCTCTGGCTTCTTCACTGTGTGGATACCTTTCCAGAGTGTTTGATTTGGCAACATATTCAGAAGTTCTGTGTTTGATAGCCAAGAGTGTACGAAACTCTGAGCAAAAGCATTTGCATTTACTTAATTTAAAAAAATGAGCCACCGTCCAGGTGATACCACAGGTAGTGTTGCTCTGATGTCTGACTTCTTCTCCCACAGCTGTTTAGATCCCTCATGAGTTTGGTAAACCATGGCCATGTTTTTATTTCTGGACCTGGGAGTACCCAAGCTAACCTTTCAGTGTTTAGAACAGAGATTCTGATTATGAGATGAAAAGAAAATGACAGCTTTTCTTGCCATTAAAACCAGGACTCACTCATGGCATCACTTTGTCCTTTGCCCTACAGAGCAGAGACTGTGACTCTTGCTCTTTGTGGTGGCTTTATTTTAAAGAATGTCATCAGAACTGACCTGTTAGATACTCCTCTTCTCTATAAGTCTTTATTTTTAGTTATTACTTTTGGCTGTTGAATTTTAATTCATTGGGATGTGGTAAACTGGCTTATCAGAGAATCCTTATATATTTTGTAAATTTTTTGAGGAAAAATTTGGGAGCTGCTCACACAAATCAGCGTCACTAATATGGCTGCTTTGCTTTTAGGTGATTGGAGAGGACAATGTGGCAGTCCCCTCACATCTTTACAAGGTGATCCTGGCTCGCAGAAGCCCAGAGTCTATTGAGCCGCTGGCCCTGGGGGCCTTTGTGGTGCCCAATGAAGCCATTGGCTTCCAGCCTCTGTTGACCGAATTTCAGGTGAGCCTCCAGGACCTTGAGAAGTTGTCAGGACTGGTGTTTTTCCCTCACTTGGATAGAACTAGCAATATCAGGAATATCTGTGCAGTGGACACCTGTAAGCTCCTGGATTTCCAGGAATTCACTCTATACCTGAGCACAAGAAAGATTGCAGGAGCCCATTCCGTGCATAAGCTGGAAAAAGTCATGGAAAATTTGAAGAATGCAGGGATTGAACCAGATGATTACTTCCTGAGCCGCTATGAGAAGAAACTAGAAGAACTAAAAGCCAAGGAACAGCTGGGTACCCAGACAAGAAAACCATTCTAATTACCTCAGAAGATAAGTGCTGATCCACTATAAGGAAGCAGGTATGCCCTCTGCAGGCTCATATGTTTTAGTGGCTTTGCTTTAAAGAAATGATGGAATCCTAAATTTGAGACTAAAATTCCCTCTGAACAATGAATGATCTGTAATTATTGTGTCAGTTTTCTTTCTTTCTTTCTTTTTAGCTTGGGGACTAATTAGTAAGAAAGCAGTTACATCTGCAGATGGAGAGCCAATCTGGTGTCAAGTTTACAAAAGGACTGGGTTCCCAAGATGGCGCTACATTTATGTCCCGCTGGATAAAGAATGTGTGAAGGAAGGCACTGTTTATAAACCATGCAGTGTTTTTGATATATCTGTCTGCTGAGCTTCTTGAAGTTTGGTATTATATGGTTTTTTCCCGTAGGATCTGATTAGCTTTTAGAAATCTTCCATTGTCCTACCAAAGTACAGTACAGATTATAATTTATTTTATTTCTTCTCTCATGAACCTGTTGTTCCTCCACTTCTGTGTGTCCAGAAGCACCCAACAACTGTGTTTTCTGCTCAGTGTGTTTTACACACTAAGCTCACTGCTTTACTTGTCTGGTAGTGATCTCTCAGGAGTAAATACACTGTTTCAATTTTACCTGTGAGGAAACTGAAGCTCAGAGAGTTTCAGACCTTGCCTTTAGAGTTCTCCTTTCCAAGGAAGTCACCTGCAAAGTATGGGGCACACAGGGCTAAGAGAAGCAAGACAGCTCAAATTTTCCATCTGTGGGCCTCAGGTAAGAAGAGTCTGTTTTTTTTGTTTTGTTTTGTTTTTTACTACATGAGCTAAAGGGACTTTAATGTCTTCTGATTTGAATCTTCCTTAGCTCTTGGAAAGAAATAAAGCAAGTGTGTGAAAATTAGAGGATGATTTTTGGGATTTATGAGAGTCTCTGCATGGCTCCAGGGGAATGGTTGTTTTAGTGATTGTATGGTGCCAGTGTGCTGTATTCTGTGTTCCCTCTGTGCCTGTGGTCCACTGGGTAGCACAGAGCCAGGTGGAGCCTGGGCCTAAAGCTACAAGTGCCCTTAGCATCCATGGAGTAAAGGACAGCTGTTTTTCTGAAGCAAATCTCTAGAGTTAGGTTGACCTGGAGTCCTGCTTTGGGGTAGCATAATAGTGACAGTAAAATATCTTGGGGGTCACAGACTGATGGAAATCTGTCATATCACTACTGTCTGTCTAAGTGGTACCAAAAGAATTATTTTTTTTTGTAATGTCTTGGTGTTTGTCTCTGATAAAAGGAAGTAATGAGAAGATAATGATTTACTTTGCTGTCTTGGAGTAAAAAGGAAAAGTTGGGAGGTAGAATGTGTAGTCTTATTAATACTGTTCTGTTCTGTCATACTGTTCCCCATTAACTTGTGCTGGTGTTTTTCACGGATAGAGAGCCAAAATGTCACTGTGACCAAAAAGTCTTCTTTCTCTCCTCAGTGCAGGGTTGACGGTGGGGCCTGAGTGTTTCTCTAGGAGCATGAGGGTGCAGATCTGAGGGAAGAGCCCTAGGCACCTGCTATGCATCTCTGAGGCCAGCCCGACCTGGCCTTGCCACCGTGCTTGGCTCTGTCTGCCCCTTCGTCTGCTGCAGCCAGAGCTCTTCTCATGCCTGCCTCTCCTAGATGGCAGAGATTAGAAAGTTAAAGTGTCTTAGGATTTTATCTCTTAGGAAATATACTGCCTAGTCATTGGAAAAAGTAGAGCTTAAGAGCCTGTAATGCACAAAGGCCTTTTTTATATGCAGTATTTTGTTGGTCCATAATGGTGATAGTTGAATTATTGCCTGAACACTCATTGCGAGTCTTTCCCAAGAAAACTTTATATGTAATACTGGGTTGAGCTTGGAATTTTCCTCTGGATCAGGTCATGTCAGTGCCCACAGTGTGGCTGCCAGGTACAGCAGATCTCTGCGCCTCTCCCCAGCAATCATTTTGTCCCTCTGGTAGAAAAACATAGCCAACTGGACCTGAGCAGGTCTCCAACCCTTAGTGCAGGCTCAGTCCTGGTCTCAGCTTTGTGTGCTGTTACTCTCCTGCTGAGAGGGAGGGACTGCCAGACTAGGTGGGCTCTGCGTGGGAAGCCTCTGGGTGAGGGGTTTACTCCGTAATGTTTCTCCCCTGCAGAGATAAACTCTTTGGTCTGTAGGTTGAAGCTGTTTGGTCAAATTTGTATGTAGCAAGAGTGCATCTTAAATAGGTTGCAAAGGTTAGGTAGATGGGTATATTAGCCCTTAAATACCTGCTGACATTTCACCCTCATACCTTCAAGCATACTCCCTTAGGCCTTTCATTAGAGTCCAGGAGGACAGGCAGCCTGATCTGGAGGGAATGGCTTCCTGCAGAGCCAGGTACAGCTTGCCCTACACTTGGAATAAGCCTGAGTGTCATGTGTCCCGTGGCCTTACCTTGTGTGTCATTGACATCAACTCTGTGTTTTACGGACTTTCCATTAGCATCCTTCCCCGCCCCCCATCTCTGCCCTGGAGTCTGCTCTCTGTCCCTTCTCAGCCCTCCTATGCTATGTGCCTTGCTGCACATTTCCACCTGCTGCCCATGTCCCCCTGGTTGAGCTGGTCAGGGCTGGCCTCCTCCATCTGGCCTGCTTTCCTCAGTGTTGTCATCTGGGATTGTCTATCAGGGATCTAGTGGTCCTTTTGTTATTTTAGCCCCACCTTTGAGAACCAACCCTCAGGTTATGGGAGTAAGCCAAGCAGATTAAACTTGGGGTCTGTGTACTGTGTTAACATCCTCAGCCCTTGTTATTTTTCATTTTGAGACAGGTTCTTACTAAGTTGCCCAAGTGGAACTTGAACTTGTGATCCTCCTGCCTCAACCTCCTGAGCACTGGGACTACAGGCATGGGCCATTGTTCCTGGCTAGGCACTGCACTTTGATGTGGGCCATGTAATAAAGGGCAGTGGGATGTGATAGTGGTGAATCATCTCTTGAGGTCCTGAATGTGCCAAAGTGGTTGGGAGGCTGCTCTGCCCCAGAGTGCACAGAGTACCTCTAGGGGTCACTGTGGCCCAACGTCACACCAAGAAGATGCAGCTGTAGCTGTGGCAGTGCCTCACTGTGGAACTGGTAGCTCTTCAACCATGAAGAGCATGGGTCTTTGTCACCAGGCTGCATCCTCTAGGGCCAGATGGAGGATCATAGGTTGTTTCCATCAGTTAGCCTCGTGTTTGGCTCACACTAAAATAGTCTAATAGTAGTTTGACCCCCCATTACACATTACCCTTCCCCCCAATATGTGTCTCATTTGCTTTCTTTTTTTTTCTTGAGCCACTTAAAAGTAATTTGTTGTTAAAAAGCAATCTATTAAAATTTGCTAAGGGGTTCCAAAACACCTCTCACACATTTTTTAAAATTCAGGTTTAAGTGAAATAAATCAGACGCAAAAGCTTAAATATTATATAGTTTCTCTTTTATGAGAAACCTGAAGTATAAATAAATTAAAAGAGCAAAGTAAAAGAGAGAAGAGGAGGGAGGGAGGGGGAAGGAATAAGAGAGGAAAGGTATGAAAAAGCATTACTTTGTGTTCATTTACATACTCCCCATGATTAATGTAGTCATTGTTGCAAATGTACTAAACATTTTTAAAATTCAGGTTTTAAACAAGATTCATATTGTTATGTCCCACCTCTTAATCTAGAGCAGTCTACCTGATTGGCTTAAAAAAATACAGATTCCAACCATACACTTGAGGTTTGATTCAGTAGATGTGATCTGAGGCTAGAATCTATGTTTTTTAAACAAGAAAACTGGTGATTCCAATGCACAACCAGGATTTCAAACCAGACTTTTCCCTGCTCTGCCCCCACCCTTTCCCAAAACACAGTCCTTAGATGGGCCTTCCCTACTGGTCTTTGAACTCCTGCCTATCTCTGTGAGACAACTTATCCCATCTCTTTGGGTCCCAGGTATCCAGTTTTCTTTTTCTTTCTTTCTTTCTTTTTTTTTTTTTTTTTTTTTTTTTTTTT